ATCACGGTGGCTACGCATATAATGTAGCTATATGCATGTTAAGAAATAAAAATATTAATATTATATGTACCTAAAAACAAACGATAATAACTAATTATTACTAACATACTATTTTTTAAACAAAACAAATTACTAATAAATGTAATTTATATGTTTAAAATTATAAATTCACGTAGGTACCTTTTTTTTTCCTTGTTAGAACCGACCGCAAGCGTAGGTACCTAAAAGTGTTAAGTAACACACRGTCAATTTACATGATACTCCGATACAATCGGGCYACTTTAAATTTACTTCGAGTTTACATAACAATTTATCAAAACTTCAAACATCAGAAAATAATTAGAAACTATTTTATTCATGCTCCCAGAGATCAGAAAATATGGTGGAAAATTTACCTTTTATATACTTTGGACAATCTAAAGGTAAACGCATACTTTTTACTACATTTTTCAATCATTTTTGTTTTTCCTAGTTACAAAAAGTATAGTCGTGTTTTGAMATATTGTGGTTGTATGCACGATTTCAATTTGACTTCGCGTATGGAAATATATTATTACAATATTACCAATAGAATATTTAAATTTAGCAGATACGTTATATCGTTACCTACGGTCCATCATTCATATTTCGATTTAATTAATGCGTCTGGCATGTTAGTATCATAGGGTATATTGAATGATCAACCAACTGAATCTGAATTCTAGAAGCCTGAAATTATTTATTTTTGATCCAAATAATATATAYCAAACCACCAGATTCTGAATAAAAAGCTCGTAATCATATACAACTGTGGATCCTGACCATGCTGATGCTGTTAATGCTTGGGAAAGCGTATTAACACAACAGTATTTAAATTGTTTAATAAAATATAATAGTTATGAAATACTAGTTAAGAAATATATTTATTTATAACCACATTTATAATAAAAACTTGAAAATATCCATCATACGTATTATCTAGATAAAAGCTTATTTTTTTCTATTTAAGWTCATATATTCATCTGTAACTAGCTGTAACTAGATAATTTTACTAAAAAATATTTTTATTTTATCTGTATATTTGTTTTTTTTTTATCTGGATTAAACACTGTTTGTATTACGCGAGTATATATAGCCTCTAAAGCGCAAAGACATCCAAAAATTCAGTTGGCTAAACATGGTTTTCAAGATAATTTTGTAATATTAATATGTTTATGTAAATTATGTTTGTTAATATAATGTTACAAATTAAATTAAATCCCTAAATAACWCGAAGTATACCATACATATAGGTATATTGTATAAATATTCAATAATGTTATTGACGATCAAATATAATATATATACTTCAAAGTTCAAACTATTTAGTCGAAAACAAAAAATGACTATGTGTTACATACAATATAATAATACAATTTGAATTTAGTAAGTGAGTAAACCCAATATAGTATCATCGATTCACCGCTGAATAGGTATATATATWTTTTTTAATAATAACGAACACCGTACATTCGTTTTATGGTTAAGTTTCGACGAACGTCATTAAATACATCGGCTATGTACACTCTCAATTTTTTGTTTGTACAGTTAAGAGGTGTTTTTTATTTTTATTTCATTTGAAAACTGTACGTAGAAAAACCCTTAGAGTTTGTAAATATAATTGTATCGTATAATAAAAATCTCGTTCCGTTATTATTATTTTTTTTTGTGTGTG